TTTGGCATCTCACTGTTTGACATTGTTAGAACAGTCCAGAATGTTAATCATATGAAGAATTCCTGATAAAATATTGTGTACATATAATATAATGTATACATACAACATATTGTATTTATTATATGTAGATACATATATAGTGTGTTTAAGTTTTACATTTGAATCTTCTAGAACAACATATTATTAAAATTGTTAGGATAAAATATTCAAAGCATTTGAATCCATTTTTAGAAAATAAGTATTCAAGTATATTCAAGTATTTCCTTTAAAATGTTCATAATTTCTAAAGAAAAAATATGCTTCAAAGGATAACAAGAAAGTGAAAAAGAAACCCACAGGATGGAGAAAAATAGTTGCAAGTCATATACCCAATAAAAGTCTATTAACCAGGATATATTAAAAAAAAACTCTTACAACTCAACAAAAAAGACAATCCAGTTAAAAACATGTAAAGGATTTAAATAGTTATTTCTCCAAAGAAGATATTCAAATGACCAATGAGCACGTGAAAAGATGTTCAACTACCAAAGGAGCAAAGAATATGCACTGAAGCAAAGAAAGTTTGTTCAATAAATGGTGCTGGGGAAACTGGGAAGCTACATCTAAAAGAATGAAGCTTGACTACTACCTCACACCATGCACAAAAACCAACTCAAAATGGATTAAAGAACTAGACATAAGACCTGAAACCATAAAATATATACAAGGATATATAGGCAAAGCACTACAGGACATGCACCTCAAAGACATCTTTACTGACACATCACCCAAAGCAGTGATAGTGAAGGCAAAGATAAACAGCTGGGACTACATCAAATTAAAGAGCTTCTGCACAGCAAAAAGCTGGGAGAAAATTTTTGCACACAACACTAATGATAAAGGACTGATCACAAAAATCTGCAAAGAGCTGATGAGACTCAACAAAAACAAAGAAAATAATCCAGTCAAAAAAATGGGCAGAAGAGCTAAAAAGAAACTTCTCTGAAGAGGAAATGCAAATGGCCAACAGGCATATGAAAAAATGTTCAACATCACTTGTAATCAGGGAATTGCAAATCAAAACTACAATGAGAAACCATCTTATACCAGTAAGAATGGCACAAAATAAAAAAAACTAGCAACAACAAATGTTGGTGAGGTTGTGGAGAAAAAGGAACTCTCCTGCACTGCTGGTGGGAGTGCAGACTGGTCCAACCACTATGGAGAGCTGTCTGGAGGTTCCTCAACCTACTAAAGATAGAGCTTCCAAATGATCCAGCAATTCCACTCCTAGGTATTTACCCAAATGACACAGAAACATTTAATTCCAAAGGGCACCTGCACCCCTATGTTTATAGCAGCACTATTTACAATAGCTAAGCTATGGAAACAACCCAAATGCCCAAAAATAGATGACCGGATCAAGAAAATGTGATACATATATACAATGGAATATTACTCAGCAATAAAAAAAGATAAACACATGCAGTTTGCAGCAACATGGATGGAGCTAGAAGGGATCATGCTCAGCAAAATAAGTCAGAAAGAAAAAGAAAAATACTCTATGGTCTCACTCATAGCAGGAATCTAGAAAACTTAAATAAGGGACCAGGAAAAAGACTAATTAATACAAAGTAAAAAAATCAAAATCAACAATCAACTATGGGCCAGAGATGCACTGAGGCTGGGGATGTAGGGTTGGGGGGAGAGGAAGGATTAGGGTCAAAATAAGGAGGGGGGGCAATTATGTGGGGAATATAACCAAAATGAAAATGCATACATTGTGCAAAAATGAAAAATGATGTAAGAATTATATAAAATAAAATATTAAAAAAAAAAAAAGAAAAGATGTTCAACTACATCAACCATAAGGGAAGTGCAAACCAAAATTACAATGGGATGTTGCTTTATACTCAACAGAATGATTATAAAAAGACAGACAATAGCGGCCTCCCTAGTGGTGCAGGGGTGAAGACGCAAACTATGAAGCTGGTCATGGCCACTGCAGCACGAGTTTGATCCCTGGCCAGCCAGGGAGCTACCAACAAGGCGCAGCAGACCTCTCCTGGCTCACCCACTGCTCCCCTCAGTAGTGTATTTTGGTCAATCTGCCTGTTCTGTTTCCCACTGTCTCTGGTGAATCATCTCACTCACCACACCTCTGGCTTGTACCTCCATTCTTGTATGCATAAATAAATGAATCTTAAAAAAAAAAAAGACAACAGTGAGTGCTGAGGATGTGCAGATACTGGAACCATCATATATTTCTAGAAGGAATGTAAATGGTATACCCACTTTGGAAAACAATTTGTAGGTTTTTAGTTACCAATATGGAATTATCTCTCATGATTCAAGTGAGAAAAAAAAAAAAAGCCAGAAATATTTTGTTGTAGATACAGCATGCAACCACTTGTTTGTAAAAAGAAACTACATAAAAACATATTTACTACACAAGAAAATGGTAACATCTGTTGCTTTTGGGAAGGTAAGGAGGTGGCTGCAAGTGCAGAGGGTATTAAAAGAAACAGGGAGTGCTTAAAAGACAGCTTTACACTCTTTTTATGCTTTAAATTCTGAACGATGTGAAGGTAATATCTATTTAAAATGAATACACAAAAATAAAATCAAAATATTTAAGTAGTCCCTGTAAGGTACAAACTACAATCAAAATGTTATAATCACTATTATTAACAAAGCACATTTGATAATATTACTGAAACTTAAATCCCTTCAGCAGTTTATGTTGTGTTCTACTACATAAATGAATGAAGTGTTAAGAGTATATAAGAAAAGTAAGATAGGCTTAAATATGACACAAAAAAATGAAATAGCCACTACTGAGCTCCAGCTCATTGTATTTATTCTGGAAAGTAGGCCCAACATTGCCAGGTCTTCAATTTTTCAAGATACCAGAAATCCAAATTTGTATGTGAAATGTCTTAACTTTTAATGTTAAGCCTATGTCATGCTAGTAAACCCAATTTGGTCACAGGCCACCTATCTGTACCTCTGGTTCATAAAAAAGTCCTTGATTTGTGAATATATTGGGTGTCAGAAGAGTCCTGATGCATTTTTGCAACAGAAACAGAAAAAACACATCATGACTTTTCTGACAACCCAATATTATTCTTTCAAACTGCCTTGCAAGTTTGGGAACTCTGAAAGCATATTGTGCTTAAGAGTAATATAAGTAGCAATCTGGTTTCTGGACCTATTACTAAGGCAAACTACAATACTCAACTCATAACATTATGTTAACCACCTATGATTAACAATGTTTATACTAAACAACTTAATTTAAGTTTCAACTTGAGTCTTTGGAAAGCTTAAAAAGGTGAATTGGAGGTTAGTAAAGGGAAGAATAAAAGGAAACAGAAGGCGCCTGAGAGGGCACTGGTAGAGTTAAGCAAAAGTTCAATTACTGTAGTGGGCGGTAAGATAAACTTTCAAAATTTCTCTTAAGATCTAAGTGTCTTCTGCAGGCACTCAAAGAGAAAGGAAAAGAATAAATCTCAGCAGCTACAGATACAAAGAGCAGTACTTCTGAAAGGATTCTGTCACTTGCTTTTATAAATCAGACATGATAAAATGGATGCCAGATAATTAGCCCTAACTAATGCCATGAATCCAAAATTAAATCTGCATCCCCACTAGAAAATTAAAGTTTATTTTCTAATGGTAGAATTTATTACTAGAGTAACAATAAATTGACATAACTTCTTACTGAACTTCATCATGAATGCTTCTATGAACTCTAAATTTTCTAGTTTTGAGTAAATATTCCACTTGGAGATTACTTGTAGCAAAGACTTAAACCAAGCTCAGGAGATAATCACCTCCTAGCATTTCTGGTTACTTTTGCTAACATTTAGTTAATGTGTATCTAAAGAACTACAACTATTTTAACACTCTCCTAACAGTAAACATGATTTTAAAAATTAAATCTGGAAATTTTTGGAAGTCAGTTGTTGGAAATGCTCCATCATATGACTTCTGAAGAACAGCCTGCAAACATTTTGGTAACCTGTCTCTAAAGAGCAATTGATGTTTGCTCAAGTCAACATTAAAACTATTTTATTATTCCTAGGAAGAAGCTAATTCGGAAAATAAATTGCACATGGGAAAAAAAAATTATATACAACCTAGATCCCAAAAGGAATGACTACTGAATTGGCTTTATGAGCACACTTCCCAATTAAAATGGAAACTGAAATACAACTCTAAGTAGTTATAATTTACCAAGTTTTAGATTGTTGGGGTGTCTGCTTCCCTCCATTCATAAAGAAATCAAATGTACAATATAATTTGGAAAGGATGCTAATATTTGGAAGTCAGTAGTTTTTTAAATAAGAGATACTTCAATATTATCTATCGTCATTATTTACTTAACTAGACACCCAGTTCTATTCTAGAGAGGATATGCCCAAATGCTTCAGAGTTATTTTTTATTTTTTTTAATTTTTTTTAAAGATTTATTTATTTATTTATTTATTTATTTATTTATTTATTTATTTATTTATACAAGCACTGGGTACAGTCAGAAGTGCGGCAGGGTGAGAGAATTCACCAGAGCCAGAGCGGGTAACAGAACAGGCAGACAGACGAAATACAATGCTGAGGGGAGCAGTGGGCGAGACAGGAGAGGTCTGCAAGCCATGAGATCCTCGATGGTGGCCGGGGATCGAACCGGTGCTGTGGAGGCTGCGGGCAGCTTTGCAATCCAGCACTTAACTGCTGAGCCACCAGGGGAGGCCCCAGAGTTAGTTTTTAAAGAACCATTAACTGATAATTGCATCTTATAAATTCTTTAACAAATAAAAAATCCTTGAATATTTCTTATATATCTTGGCTCAAATGATACAGCTACTGTGCATCAGGCAACATGAAAAGGAAAAGGAAAAATTGTAAATAGCAGTAAGTCATTTCAGGATTTAAACATGAGCAAACTCAGTCTTAGAAACTATGTTAGACTGTTTTTAAAGAAAAAATGTTAAGACATTTTTATTGATTATAATACATACCTTGTTGAGCTAAAGTTGATCTTAGCATTCCAGTCTTTGACCAAATTTTTATTTGCCCATCTTCTCCAACTGTAAAGAGAAAATAATAATTTGTATTTTTACTTTTAGGAAACAAATTTAAACATTAAATTTGTATATAAAAATCAGCAGTAGCTATATTAATGCATATTTAAAATTCAAATAATTTCATTCTAATTAAATGACAGTGCTTCATAACTATAAATTGTAATTAAAATTAATATGAAAAATTAATTTAAATAGCCTAATTTCCTTGACAAAAATTATTTTTTCTTTAATCATAGAAGATCTATGAGTCAATTATTCCAACACTACTTTTATTGTCACTGAAATCTACATCATAGAACTCAAAGAGAGGTGCTTTCAGTATAATAAGAGTTGTTGTCAAATATTAGTGATCTGGGGACTGAACTGAGTGAAATAGTAAGACTACTCTTTTGAACAGCTTATCTGAAAGGGGAAGAAAGAAAGAAAATAGTAACTAGAAAGTTATTTTTTTAAAAGAGGGATTTTAATTTGATTCTTTTCAATTTTAGAAATGAAAAGAAACCACTGGAAAAGGAGAAGCTGAAGACAGAGGCAAGAGAAAAGACAACTCACTAAGTAAAGTTCCACAGAACCAGGGACTAGGTGGTTTTAAAACATACCCACAAACTCTTTGTTATTCCTCCTTTCAAGAGATAGTTTAATTTCTCTCACCTTCAGTGTACACTGTTCTTCATGATGTGTGCCTAACAGAATGTGGCAGAAATGATGGAGTATGATTTCCAAGGTGGATCATAAAATAACATTGTGGCTACCCTCTTGCATCACTCACTTGGGGGAAACCAGCAGTCATGCTGTTGGAACATTCAAGCAGTCTTATGGAGAGGCATATGTAGTGACTGTAAGTGACCTAAGGTCTCCTGTCAACAGTCAAAGAGGAACTAAGACTGCTTGCCCACATGCTGACCATCTTGGAAGCAGATCCTGCAGCCTCAATCAGGGCCTCACATGACTTAGTCCCATGCAACTTCTTGGCTATAACCTCAAGAGTCTGGAATTGGACCAAAGAGCTAAACTGTACCCTGTCCCACAGAAACTATGAAATAAACATCCTTATTATCTTACAACACTAACTTTTAGGGTAATCTGTTATGCAACAATAGATAACCAATATAAAAAGCTGAAGATGAGAGTCCATAGAAAAAGTTAGGAGATAGGCAAGAGATGGAAGGGAATGAAGGTCAAGTTAAATGAGAATATTTTGAATTTTAAATTTTTAAAGAATTACAACTTTTATGGGCAGAGGATATGAATAGGTAATTCACCAAAGAGGATATGTAGATGGCTAATAAATATGAAAAAAATGTTCACCGTCACTTCCATTAAGAGAGATGCAGATTAAACCACAAATAATATCTCGCACCTGTAAGAATGACACATATTAAAAAGACCCCCAACAGCAAGTGGTGAAGAGGATGTAGAGAAAAAGAAATCTTATTACACTGTTGGTGAGAATATAAACTGGTGCAACCAATATGGAACGCAATTTTGTTATACCTTAAAAAACTAAAAATGGAAATACTGTACAAACTGGTAATCCTACTTCTGGGCATTTATCCAAAGAATATGAAATCATCAATATAAAAATTCCTATTTTCCACAGTGTTCACAGCAGCATTATTTACAATAGCCAGGACATAGAAGCAGCCTAAATGCCCATCGATGGATGATTAGATCAAGAAGATGTGCTATAGACACACTATGAAGCCATAAAAAAGGATGAAAATGCAGCTATTTTCAACAAAATGGGAGGAACTTGAGAGATTATATATAGTAAAGTGAATTGGAATGATAAAACCAAACACTGGACATTAACATAGCAGACAATTCAATAATATAAAAACACTTTTAAAAACCAGTGAATATTAAATACTGAAGGATCTGAGGTTAAGAAGGGGAGGGGAGGGCCTTCCCGGTGGCGCAGCGGTTGAGCACTGGGTTGCAAAGCTGCCCGCAGCCTTTGCACCACCAGTTCGGTCCCCGGCCACAGGGCGAGGGTCCCACATGGCACGCAGACCTCTCCTGCCACCCGCTGCTCCCCTCAGCAGTGTACTTCGGTCCTTCTGCCTGTTCTGCTCTCTGCTCTGGCTCTGGTGAATTCTCTCACCCTCCCACGCTTCTGACTGTGCCCAGTGCTTGTATAAATAAATAAATAAATCTAAAAAAAAAGAAGGGGAGGGGAGAGAAAGGGACTATGCAAAATAAGGGATGGTGGGGGGTGATGACAAAACATTACTGAGAAAATAAATACTTCATTTGGGACATATATATTCTATAATGAATTCTATTGAATTCCTTCTTATATGTACTCTCCTAGGAAAAAAGAAAAGGAAGGAAGGAAGGCAGGCAGGCAGCCAGGCAGGCAGGGAGGGAGGGACTGAGGGAAGAAGGAAAATTGGAGAGACACTGAGAAAGGAAGGAATCATGTGGGGAAAAAAAGCCACATATTGGTAGGATGGGGACGGATTTTGCAGATACTTGAGGAAAAAGAATTACAACTTTTATTTACCCCACATTTGATCATTACAAAAGCCTTCTTTGACACAACATTTTTCATATACGACAGAAAATTAAGTTAACGTGACATTTCTGAATTAAAATATTAGCAGTCTGTTGATACTGTGCCAATTATTTGCTATTAGACAGTAAAAGACACTATTGTAAATAAAAATATTCTGTTTCTTTGCAAATTTTTCTTTTAAAAATTCATTTAAAATTTTGTTTTTGTAGACAACTTACCAGTAACCAATGCTGTCCCTTCATAATTCCATCTTCCTGCGAGTACAGCTCCACAGTGAGCTTCTACACTTTTTTCCACTCTTCCTAACTTAGAAATCAGATGAAATTTACCTGAAAGAAATTATACTTGAAAGAGTTTATTTCACAAAGTTAATCCAGCAAAATAACATCAGTTGCTTACCTACAACTGGACTATAGAACTAGGCATTGGCAACACAAAGGCAAACAACATAATTACTCTTACTGTCAATGAGCACAAAAGTATATTTGGATGACAGGCTCAAAATCTAAATTTTAAAGTGGTATTATAGAATATGTATATGATGCTATGATAGTTCAGAGGGACAATAAAACTGCTGGGATATGACCAAAGAGGGTAAAGAAAAATGTCAAGAAAACCTTCTACTTAAGCAGACTTTTGCAGTCTTGCATTTTTTAAAAATACTATAGAAAAGCTGGAAAGGTGTAAAAGAGAACACCCAAAATATATAAATGGTGTTAAAAGATAAAATGAAACACTAAAAATTTTAAGTTTGTACAAAAATCTCTTCAAAGCAGGCAGCACCAAACCAGAGTGGTTAGGAGCACTCCACAGATAAGAGTTGCAGAGACTTTTATAAAGAAAATAACAAAGAAGTAAGGAAATTATTGACTGACTAAGGCTTTAGCCTACGTGGCTGTTTGTAAATGGTTGTCCTTAGGTTTCAATTTCCTAACCTTGAGGCATTTACAGGTTTAGATTTTGGTTTGCTTACATATGTCAATGGTACTAGAGTCACCTCTGTCTAAAGACCTCCTGTTTAATTAATTTAACAGTTGATAATCCCAAATTTTAAAAGACTTACCTTATAAGGCCAGACATTAGGTAAACAAAAAGTTATGCCATATAGAGGCAAAAAGTAAACAACTGACAGCTTGAAAGGACATAAGCAAACTATGTGAGACATCAAGAGAACAAATCTACTGTGCATAGAGTAAGTGCTAGAGGAAGCCAAAAAAGAAAGGTGTGGTTTTAAATGATGATTATTATTTTCAAAGTAAAATTATAATGTAACAACCTCTGATTTTGTTTGAATTCACTCCTAAGACTTTTCAATATTCTCCCATCCAAGTACTAACCAGGCCCAAACCTGCTTAGCTTCTGATCTGACCAGAGAGGGTGTGGTCAGGGTGGGCGGAGCTTGAGGGGATAATGCTAAGTTAGTCAGAAGGAGAAAGATTACTACTGGATGGTATCACTAATACGTGGAATATAAAGTACCTAAATAGATGAACACAAGCTTGAAAACCAACCCTTGATAGCTGATTAGAGAACTGAAGCACCAAGGGGAGGAGCGGAAAGAATAAAGAGGAAAAGAAGCATAATGGTCTATGGTGGCAGAATATGGGTGAGTTGGTGGGAGGTACACTAAGGTGGTAATACCTGATGGGGGTATCCCAATATTACCTCAATTAAAATATATTTAAGGGCCTCCCCCGGTGGCGCAGCGGTTGAGCGCTGGGCTGCGAAGCTGCCTGCAGCCTCTGCAGCGCTGGTTCAATCCCTGGCCACCGGCGAGGGTCCCACATGGCAGGCAGACCCCTCCTGCAGCCCACTGCTCCCCTCAGCAGTGTATTCAGTCGGTCTGCCTGTTCTGTTCCCCGCTCTGGTTCTGGTGAATCCTCTCACCCTCCTGCGCTTCTGACTACCCGGTGCTTATATAAATAAATAAATAAAATCTTTTAAAAAAATTATAAAAAAATAAATATATTTAAATTTAAAAAGAAAAATAAGCAAAAAACACTTTCCAAGAATCTGACCTAGTATCAACAACTTATCAACATTTAAGTCAGATGCTTTAGATTTTTTTTTTTTTTTTTGTGGGGCCCTTGCCGGCAGTGGGGGAACCCACCGGCGCTGGAGAGGCTGAGGGCAGCCTCGCAGCCCAGTGCTCAACCACTGCGCCACCAGGAGAGGCCCTTCAGATGGTTTTTAAAAACATTTAATACCTAGTACCCTTTAGTTACTTCACTGATTACCTACCTATTCTCACCAACTAAATTATTCCTTCTTTTTTTACAGACAGTCTACATTATTTGTAGCTCTGTTGCAGAACTTTTTATTGGGCTGTGATTCCTTTTAGGGCAGGAGGCCATGTCTTAGTCATATTTTTATTTGCAACAGTGCTTTTATATAATAAACATTTCTTAAATTTAACCAATTCAGAAACCACACTCAGTTACTTAAAAAAAAAAACAAAAACCAGATACTTTGATTTTCTTTCCTTTCTGAATGGCAGCTTTCTTTTCCTACCATTCATTCATTTTCTAGGCCCTTGACAATAAGCTAGCTCCTTTCTTCATCTACCATACACTAGTACCATCTACTTTCTCCCATACCTTCCTTTTAATTTTATATTTAGTGCTGGGTCATTTTTCAATGAAGCAAGATTACTTGGGATCCAACTGTGTTATTACTTGGAATCCAACTGTGTTACTCTATGGGACTATTTAAAATTAGTTTGGAGGGCCTCCCTGGTGGCGCAAGGGGTTAAGCACAGCACTATGAAGCTATCCACAGCCTCTACAGCATGAGTTTGATCCCCGGCATGCCAAGGAGCAACCCACATGGCGCAGCAGACCTCTCCTGTCTTGCCCGCTGTACCCCTCAGCAGTATATGTCAGTATATCTGCCTGTTCTGTTTCCCTCTCTGTCTCTGGTGAATCTTCTTATCCCCCCTGCACCTCTGGCCGATACCCCAGATCTTGTATGCATAAATAAATAAATCTTTAAAAATAAATAAATAAATAAAATTAGTTTGGATATGCTTTTTTAAATGCATTGCTTTACAGAGAAAATAGAAGGGGGGAGGAAGTCTCAAATGAGAAAAATGTAAAGATGATATAGTAAGTAGAAAACTAATCTTGCAGCCATTATTTACTTCATCTAGGTCTGTTTCACCAAATGTTAGTATATCACCTAGCACAGAATATTTTACATAATAAACAACTATTGCATATAATGAACAAATCTTTCAGCAAAGAGATTAACCAAATAATTCTTAAACCAGAAATAAAAGGTCTAGGAATTGGTTTTCAATATTCCCTGTTTTTGAAATTTTATGTAGATCACTGATATTTCTTACCCTAAAATCACTAAAATCCAAAAGTCCAAAATGACTTTTGGAAAAATGCTAAAATTATTCTTGTTTCCTATGACTTCACAGAGGATATATACAGGGCAACTTAGGTCAGCTCTTTCTGTAGATCAGGCACTCAATAAACCTTTGGCTTTTGTATCTTGGTTGATTGTTATAAATTGCTTAACACACCCATAGTAAAGCACAAATAAAAAAGGTTACATTTTTTTAAAATGTTCAAATTTATAAATATGTTCAAATTAAATATGTTCAAATTCACAAATATCCACTTAACTATTTGGTTCTTCTCTCCAACTTTTCTATAGCCTTTATAAAAATGCACGAGCAAAACTAGAAACAATTAATTTATTTCCAATTATTTGCTAAGGGTGAGGCTGGGGTGAGAATATAACAAATATAATTCATTTATTGATTTATTAGACATTGGATGATTTATATTTTAAAACATGGATGTTTAAGTCCTGAGGTGTAAAATAAATCTTTTGTTATTAAATAAAAGCTAAATTAAAAAGAAAAAATTATAAAAGAGCCTCAGAACAGAAATAGATTTTTTAAATATATGAAACACTTTTTCTTTGAGTTAGAAATGCTTTAAGAAATGTCCCTAGAAGGCCTCCGTCATGGCCTAGGGGTTAAGTTCCAGCACTATCCTGGTGTTCCATCCCTGGCCAGGGAGCGAACCCATATGTGGCACAGCAGACCTCTCCTGTCATGTCCACTGCTCCCCTTAGCCATGCATTTCGGTAGATCTGCCTATCTGCTCCCCACTCTGTCTCTGGTGAATCCTCTCAACACCCATACCTCGCCTCTACCCCAGTTCTTGTGTGCATAAATAAATAAAAATAAATTTTTGAAAAAAGAAAGAAATGCCCCTGGAAACATGAAGAGGCTTGGAATAAAGTGTTAGGAGAAATGGCCCATGAACACTTTTGCAGATTGCTGAACAGCAGAAATATTTTCGCAGATAGCTGTAGAAAAAAGTCTCAAAAGAGATCAGTAACCACTAACTTCTGATAAAAACAAATATTTTTTTTTTAAAGTGGGGCTTAAAAATGGACATACTAACTAATAAGAGAATACATATCTACTAAAATGCATTACAAAAGCAACTTTCACTAAATATAATTTAAGGAGTCTTTAATGACTTTACAAAAGATATTATACCAGAAATTTTTTACATACCAGCTCTCTTAATTCACTTAAAATAATTGTTATTTTTAAATGTAAATATTTTAGCACATTATTTTTAAAAAAAACTCTAAAAAGTGGAATACAGCTACATGAAATATTCAAAAAGAAGTAATAATCTTGGAGAGAGAATACCTCACAAAAGTCTGCTTTATGTATTTCAGTTCCAAGACCCCAAATCCCAGAGATCTTTTTTGAATGTAACCACTAACACCGAAAATGGAGGGTATTGGGACAAAGAAAGGGTAATGAAAACATTTTAAAACTGTAATCTTTTCTGCCTTGAAGGAGAAAATTTAAAAGAAAACTGTTGGCATCTGGAAAAGAGAACTGCTTGAGCAATTAACTAAACCTTGAGGAAACTTTTTTTAAGTATTAGGTCATATCAAACAAAATGAAAAAGTCATAGTAATCTGCTGTACAACATTATACTGATAGTTAACAAGCTACATTGTAGACTTAAAAAATTATTAAGAGGGTAGGTTTCATGTTAGGTGTTTTATCATAACAACAGCTTTTATTTTTTAAGTGTTGGATTAACAAATACTAATATGTAAAATGACCTCAGATGTTTACCTGGCAAGAAACCCTTGGACCATCTCCTGATGGCATCCACTTCCTTCTTTTATAAAAAGTTTTGTTTTCATTTCTGGATGCTGTTTTCTGTCTTACTCTTCCACTTCTTTTCTTTGATCTACCATACCTTTCTCTCTCTTTCACAAGATCCCAGATATTTCTCATCGTAGCCTTGGAGAAAATACCCAGCTACTCTGTCAGTTATCT